GCTGGGACCTTGGATTAGACCACACATGCAGAGCCTTTCTTATCATTGGTGCTTTATTCCTTCCACCAGGTGAAGACAGAGGGACAAGGCACCATCTTTGAACCAGATAATAGGGCCTCATCAAACTCTTATATTTATCTTATACTTTCTAGCCTCCAGAATTATGAGAAATGAATTTCKGTTGTCCATCAGCCACCTGTTTATGGTATTGAGGCAGCCCAGAGAGACTAAGAAAGCCCTGCTATTTCCCTCTAGCTCAGCAACAAAGGGGCAATTTTTGTGAGTCCTGGGGCCTCAAACCCACTTCAGCATTGCAGCCAGGGCCCAGCCATCCCTGCCATCAAAACAGGAAACACCCGAGGGAGCTTATCTGCACTAACTTCAGTACTGATGGAATGACTGTGGGTTCCACAGTTGCATTACTAGGAGTAGCCACTTTTCTCTCTCTAAGAGGGTCATCTACTATTTTCCCTCCTGGCCTTGCCCCAACCTCCAGAGGAAAACGATTTTAGCCTTATTCTGTGGGTGACAGTGGGGAGGTGACTGTTTTGAACATCATCCTTGGCATTCACATTCCAAGACCTCTGCCTTTTCTGGTTTTTCTATAAGCCCATGGTCCCCAAATATACTAACTTTCAGGGGACGCTTCTTTAGTCAGCCTTCAGTAATATAACAAATCATCTGTTGAAAAATGCACTGAAGAACTAATAAGGCTTCATGTTGGAAAGGATGGAATGACTTGAATTTTCTAGGGAGTTTTTGAGTTACATCTGTCCCTGCTCCAAATATTCTGATATAGCTCTCATGCTCCAAACCCCATCTCAATGTACGTGAGATGCAAACAGACTGGGCATTATTTTGTTTGGGGGGGGCGGGGGTGTGTGTATCTGTGTGTGTGTGTGTGTGTGTGTTTACTGGTTGTGCGTTTTGAAAAAGAAGTTCCAGTGAGTGAAAAAATGTTGTTTATCTCCACCAAGAACCACTAATTTAGGATTTTCTGTACATTGTCAGCAAAGATTTGCATTTCAATGTAAATCACTGAAGCTGAAAAAGGAGCAACAACTTATCTGTGGGAACAAGACTAAGAAGAGACATTTACAAGGGCCAGCAAAATTTTGTTGTATAAATAGGATCCCCACCCCCTGAGCTGCCTCTCTCGGGGTCTTCACCATTGTTCTTTAGTTGTAGGGGCACCAATTAAGTGTTTAGGTAATGTTTAGATAGTTTAGCTATGAGGTGTCCCCCAAAAGCTCCTGTTAATGCAGGAATATTCAGAAGTAAAATGATTTGATTATGAAAGCTATAATCCAATCTGTCCTGCTTTGAATGGACTCACTGGGTGGTAACTTTATGCAGGTGGGGCATGGCTGCCGGACCTTGRGCCCAGGGCAATGGAGTCAGCTATTTATGGACTGAGACCTCTGAAGCAGTGATCCCCAAATAAACTTTCCCTATTCTCAGTAGTTCGTGTCAGATATTTTGGTTGCAGCAATGCTAAGTCAACTAAGACAAGCGTCATAACTCTGTGGACTTGGATTCTGGCTGATGTGGGTGACCCACCTTAGATTCTTGCCTGTGCACCTAAGTTCTCAACGCCTGTTACAATGCAAGTGGTGAGTCTATAAGAAAAAAATACTAACCTCAGTGAGTTAAGAATGAGTGTTGGATTCACAGCCCAGAGGATCTACTACGAGATTCAGAAAATGAGGATTATCCAAATATCATATCGTTTGGGGAAAAATAAAACATAGGTTATGAAACCAAAGGTGGAAGATGATCCTCATTTTGCATTCATATGCAGTTTGTGCCTGGGTCCTGACRGAATCTGAATGAGGAGAGGCTGGGGAAGTGATGGGAGCAGGAAAGTGAGGGCCAGAGGTTACATGGAGGGTGTAGAGTGTGAAAAAGACAGTGAAGCACCAAGGAAGTTGTGTTTGTACACATGCACATGTAGCCCAGGGTACTGCAGTGGTGACTGCTCTTCCAGAACCTAGAAGTTTGGTATTAAAGGCAAGAAAGGGAATTGGAGGCCTCTATCCCTCTTCCCCAAGTAAAACCCGATGATGTGTAAGAGCCAAGACTTTCAATTGAGACCTGGATTTTTAAAAATTCTGGTCCAACGTTCACTGACTGAGGGTCCCTGGACAAGTGATTTTTAACCTCTTAACATCACTTTCTCCTCTGTAAAATAAAGATATTTCTTGGCAGCCCCAAAGGGCAGAATTCAGTGTAACACAAAGTGGTCAATAAAAAGGAATATTTAAAACTTTTCCTGTTGGGGCTGGGGATGTGGCTCAAATGGTAGTGTGCTCACCTGGCATGTGTGAGGCCTGGGTTCAATCCTCAGCACCACCTACAAAGATGTTGTGTCCCCCGAAAACTAAAATAAATATTAAAAATTTTTWAAAAAATTTTAAAAAAATAAAACTTTTCCTGTTATATCCAAGTTGTAAAGGCGTACCTGTGTGTATGAATATGCACTGCTGTAGGAAAATAACAAATGAATCTGTAAATAAAAAAATTCTAGCCCATTTCTCAAACCTGATCCCCAAAGAAAATTACACCTTGACAGCAAAAAAAACCTCCAACAAAGCATTGTTTTTAAGTACATTCACATGCTATGACTTCTTTATTTGTAGCAGGTTCTTTGGTGGAGGGGGAATGGTGTAGTTTGCCAATAATTCTGGGGTATGAGTGACTCTTGAGACTAACAGCAGAATGGAAACATGAACTTCAAAGGACAAGCTCCCCAGCGGTTCCAACCTCTGAAGCCTTTTATAAGCAGTCTCACTTGAAAGAAAATAATTGACAGGAGGGTCCACCTAACTGTGTCTTCTTCGGCCCTCTGACAACTGTGCTGGGAGGCTGAGGATTGGCCAACACTCCCAGCAAGACCTGCATTGCAGCAACAGACCTGGTGCCCTGAGCTGAGTGCAATTTGTCCTGCGGGGCCAGGCCGAGTTTGCAGCCAAAGTTTTTTATCTTTAATATCAAAATCAATCATAATTTTTAGCATGGAGGGGTTTTCCTGCAACTGTCAGAGATATAGCAAGTAATTCCTTCAGACATGGTGTGCACATGAGACTTGTTTTACTTTACAAGTGATCTAGAGTACTTCTTTTTAAAACAATTAGAAAGTAATTTTGCATCTTGGTCACAGTAACCAATGATTTCCTTCCCTAGTGTGAGAAAGTTCCTGCTATAACTCAGAATGACTATTCATTAATAATATAAGAATGTTGCAAAGTTGCTTATGTTTTATTACTAATAYACAACCCTCATTTTCCTTTTTTATTTAATAGGCTCTACACATTTTCCCTGCTAATTATTCCAGCTATGGAGTGACTGTGGCATGAATTGTGCTATAATTTTCACTGCCTCTAACTGCTGGCTTCCCCCACAGGATTCAAAGAACTCTCTAAGCAGTGGACTGGCTACCTCAGGAGGACCTCAGGCTCTGTCATTAACCTTCTTGTGGTTATTGTCATAGCTGATACCACCAATGCCCTCCAGTATGTTCATGGGCAGAGGAAATACAATAGTAGAATTCTTCTCGGTGGCTACAGTGGTTAAGGTCTGCAGGTAACGCAGCTGAAGGGCTATGGGGGACTCGGACAGCACCATAGAGGCCGACTTCAGAGATTTAGAAGCATTCATTTCCCCTTCTGCTGCCAGGACCTAAAATGACAGAAATAAACACTTACAAATGTGACAAGAGTTTTCTTTTTCTGGGTCTGTGCTGATATAGGTCGCCCAGCCCCCTGCTTTGCCATACATGTTTCCTTGGCTTTTGGCTAGGATAAGAGTGTCACATCCTATGGTGAATGGAGAAACGAGGAGGTTGCACAGTGTCAGAATAGATGTTTTACAAATTATGACTACCTAGATTTCATTTTCAAACAAAAATGAAAGCACTCTCTTTAACACAAATAAATACTTGGCCATCCATCCGAGGAATGCTCTTAAAGCCTGGGGGGGGGGGGGGCCTCACTGCCTACTTCATTCATTTTTAGAGAAGCCTAAAGTTCAAGGGCTCCAACCAGGTTTTTTGCTGTTTTCCAGTTATCATACAAGATGTTGTTATTTCATTCTATTGTCAACCTAGTCTCGTTCTTACAATGCAGGAATTGTTCCCAGTTCTCTGAGCTCTTGATTACAAGTAGTAGAAAGTGCCAGCCTGGGACTCTCTTCATACTCTGCTTTCCTAGTTCTCAGACTGCCCAGGAACAACTTGGCCAGGCTTAATCGCCCCCAGCGTGGGTACCCCGCTATCCGTGGGAGAGTGATGTCTTGTCCATCATTGCCAAGTTTCTGCTGGGAAACTGCTAGAACTCAGCAGATAAACCAAAGTACAGGATGGGTAAGGACAGAGAAAATAGCCTTGTCAGCTCACAAGTAAGATTCCCACGAGGCTGCTTGAAGGTTTCTGATTTCACTTGCTTTCTGATGCTTCAGGAAATCCATCAACACAAAGACTACAGATCCAACCGTTTCAAGGACATTCGGGGGAAAGAGTGGAGTTACATTTAGTAATTCTAACCTGGGTTGTGTTTGATTACTCCCTTTGAATCCGGTATCATGAAACACACCAAAACAATGGTGTTCACAAGACAGGCAACACGCCGGCTATATCTGAAACACCAGCTTTATAAAAAGGCTGGTCCCTGAATCCGGCCCAGATTCTGCTTCACTGGAGCTGAAGTGTTTTGCTACGTTCTCTAGGAGACTCTGGGGTGCAGCCAGCATTGGGCCCCACATTGCTAATTGTTCAACATGTTGCTGAGCATCCTCTTGACCTGTTGCTATGCTCATTACCTTCAGATCAAAAGAAATTCTCATTAAATCTGTGAACAAAGCCTTTCTTTAAAAATAACAGAGCAACCCTGATCTTCTGTTCAGCTCCATCTTTGTCTGCCCCAGCACCAGGAGCCTCCCCTGTCATGTACATGGAGTAGCCCTTACCCTGGCTCTGGCTTCCCGTGTGGCCTCGGCCTCAGCAGCCATGGATCTCTGCAACTGCACAGGAATCCGGACATCTTTGATTTCCACTCGGGCCACCCGGATCCCCCACAGCTCCGTGGCATCATCAAGCAAGGTCTGTTTGCGGATCAAAAGAAAAGACATTGATCAGARGACAGGTGACTTGATGTTAAGTTTCTGATGCTTTGGGAAGGTAATTCTTCCCAAACCTATGGATCCCTTCTTGGAATTGAAGTGAATCCCTTGAAGGCTTCATGAACAAATCCTAATAAATTCAGTGAGTAGTCTACTAGAAGGTCCCACCCCTCAACCATCCCACAGGACACCAGCATATGATATCGGTATATGATGGGGATTGGGAACAATGCCTCAGATCCGCTGTCACTGATATCAAGCAGACCGCAATGGGTGAGCTTTTCAGAGACGCTTGAATTTTGTCCTGGCTCTGCCATTTGCAGCTATAATCACAGGACTAGCTTCTTAACCTCTCTGATTCTCAGTTTTCTCACCTATGAGCAGTTCCTGTCTGGACTGTCATGAGGATTCGTGTGAGGCTTTGAGATAATACATATGAAGTATATATCAATACTTAGCAATGACTCAGTGGATATTATTATTGGGTACTTTTCAAGCTATTATTTATCTTACTYTCCTTAATCCCTATCTGATGGCCAGTTTTAAACAAGTAACAAGATGTGTTTTCTTTTTTTTTTTTWAAGTAGGACATATTTTTAGGGTGCATTTTTAAAGAAGCTTACAGTAAAGATATTCTTGTCCTTTGTAAAACCTTAAAACTCTGAAAGACATCTAACTGGTTGTCCTGGGGAAGAAAGGACAAGAGTGCCTTTCCCTTCTGTGGGTTCTGCAGGACACCAAGAGTTGGTGAGACCTCACGAGAAGCCAGTGACCTGGCTTTAAATGGGAAACATTTGAGTTGTCAAACTCAGCAGGTTCTTAGAAAGGAGATGGGGACCTGTCATGCAGAATTGTCATCACCTCATAAAACCATGAGGTCTTGGCACAAGAGGCCAAGAATGACCCAAGTCCTAACTTACAGAAAGAAAGCTGAGAATCAAAATGCAACCAAGTTAAGAAAATACAGAAATGCAATTTATAAACTAGAATATACAAGAAATGAGGTCATACCTGCTCCATCTAGCTACCTGCAACCTGGATTACAGGTATCAGGGAAACAAGTGTTGTATATCTATTTAGAAATTAAAGATGGTAGGATTCCAGAAGGGTTCTACCATTCCTTTAAAAAATGAAGTCCCTATTATCATTATTACAATAATGATGATGATCAGTATCATTAATCTTGTTATTGATATTGGTGCCATGATGTAAATCTTTTCAGACAAGGCATATCTCTGCTGTCTCAGATCAATCCTCTTCTGACTTCCACACCCCACTAAAATGTAGGAATATAGGGGCTGCCTGGGAAATGGCTATACTTCCTCTGGAGTAATCTAAATTGAAAATAAAGACTGGTCTCTAACTTTCTCAGAAAAGGTACAACGTTAATCCGTGATTGTGAATTCCAAAGAAAGGGGATAAGGGGTACAATTCTCATAGCTCCTTTCTCCCACCCAGATATTTAAGTCTATGCCTTGTAATAAGTAAACAAAATCACCAATAGAACCCCACCCCTCTAGCATAGCTCTGTGTGTGGTGTGTGTGTGTGTGTGTGTGTGTGTGTGTGTGTTGTGTGTGTGTTAACACACGTTGAGGGGGTACATCGATAGTCTCTGATAATTAGGAAAAATTAACTATGGGGCAGAGTATTAGTTCTTGGAGTCCTCACCTGGATGCTGTGGGCAATCTCTTCGCGCCCTGCTAAGATCTGAGACAAGGTCTGTGTCCCTAAGACATTTCTCAGAGTGGTTTGAGCCAGCAGAAACGTGGCTTGGTGAACATCGTTGACATTAGCCACCGCTGAGACAGCACTGTAGATTCTGTAGTAGACAACTCCATCCACCTGAGTAGTCACAGAGTCTCTGGTGAGGATCTATAGAGCAAAAACAAGGCAAGATCACACGTGAGTTGCATTCACAGCAATGGAAAGAGTGATAGCCAACCCCTAAAGCCCTTCTCCACAGGAAAGTGTTAATTACAGTTCATGCCAACAGTCACCAAATCCTGTCCTGGGTTGAATATAACCTCATCCTACTCAGTAACAACACTCCAACCCAGATCTGGTCCCTATCGACCCCTGTAACTTCATCTTAGAGAATATTTACATCCCATAGGCAGAAGCTCTTGACTTGCCAAGGTAAGAATAGAGACCCCCATTTTAAGGATTGGTAGAACTCTTTTGGAATTCTATCATCTTCTATTTCTAAGTAGATGGAGAACACTTGTTTCCTGATACCTGTACTCTACTTGGTTTTCAGTTTTCAGATGTGGTGAAGCAATACTGCTTAGAAAACATAGATGGCACCAGAGACCGTGTTCTCTATTTAAGTAAAGCACAACTGATTCGGATTTGTAGAGAAGCTCAGCATTGATCAATCTGAATAATGTGACAAGGTATTTTGGAGCAAATGAGTGATTTGTGCGTGGATCCTGGAAAACAGAGGCCAGAACTGTCCACAACGGAGCCAGAAAATTTCTCCTCTAGGTCAGCAAGCATTCCAGGTGCTGTGATGGAGCTGAATTCTGCACTCAGTCCTGTGGTTCCTGACAGAGGCCCTGGAGATGTCGTTGAGTCTTGATTGAGTGTCCTGTCTTTTCATTATCTCTGCCCTCCCCCTAAGTCCTTCTCCCATTCTAGATCCTACTCACAGTTATTACCCCTCCTCCTTAGGTCACTTTGGTTATGAGAAAGCAAATTAATCATTAGTAACTCTGACTTTGCTAGTATCCAGTTATTAGTTTTGGTCATTCATTATAGTATTCCAAGAATCATTTGAAATCCAAATACAGGTAAGCCCTTCACAACCTCTGCTCTGTCTCCACACCTGTCTGCTCTGTTGCATCCAAACATAAACCAACTTAAGGTCAAATGCAAAGGTGAGCKGGRCACAGTGGTGCATGCCTATAATCCCAGCAGCTCAGGAGGCTAAGGCAGAAGGATCATGAGTTYMAAGGTAGCCTCAGCAATTTATTAAGGCCCTAAGCAACTCAGTGAGACCCGATTTCAGGGGTGAGTTGTTAAGTGCCCCAGAGTTCATTCCCCAGTAGAAAAAAAAAAAAAGCAAAGGGGATTAATACAGGTATTACTTTAAAAATCTTAGAAAATGGGGCTGGGATTGTGGCTCTGTGGCGGAGTGCTTGCCTAGCAGATGGGAGGCACTGGGTTCAATCCTCAGCACCACATAAAAACAAATAAATAAAGTTATTATGTCTATCAACTGCTAAAAGATGATGATGGCAAGGATTATAAAATAACCAAACACTGCTCTCTGCCCCCATTCTCCTCAGCTCTTTGTATGGTGAGTTATCTGTCTCTCTCAAGCATCTGYTTAGTCATTCTCCAACCCAGCTTCCCTGCCAACTGTCTTCTCTCAGACTTTCTTTTATCTGGTCATTCCGAGTCTTCTAGTATTTTCTAATGTTTTTATGAGTGCAATATACTTATACATAATAGTGGGGTTTATTTTGACATATTCCTACATGCATGTAATATAAATTGATCCAGGTCATTTAGTGTTTCAAGTCTTCTAGTTCTTGGGTCTTGCCCTGGAYTCCTTTGGCAAAACAAAAAGCCCAGTAGTTTAGGAGCCACCTACAACACTCAGAGCAGGTCCCTGGGGATTCAGTTCATTCTCCTCTTATTGTTCAAAAACATACTGTAAGAATTCGATTGCCCGTGTAATGGAGATGTCGGTTTTATTTCTAGTAACAAATCTATAACCTTTTACCTCTTGTGGAGGAATGTTGCAAGTAACTGTTCGGAGATCAACTTTGACAAACACATCTATGCATGGCAGGACCAGGATCAGACCTACAAAACAGAAAATTCATTAAATTTTTACCTATTGATAATAATTAAAACAAATAGCATCCCAGCTGTTTGGTACATCATTTTCACAGGGCTGTATATGTTTTAGATGATCTTCAATATGAACACATTCAACTTTGGGGATTAAAAAAATAAAAAGAATTGCCTAAGAATTAAAGTCTTTTGGTAAAATGCTAATGATCCTTGGCATTTAATCTTCGATTTTTAAAAACAATCTATTTCTTTCTTTCTAAGTGTTTAATTTGATGTTGATTTAAAAGGACATTTTGGAAATTGGTTTTCTTATAATAAAGGTACAATATAAAAAATTCAGGAGATAGACTTTTGGTCTTGAATATTAGTGAGTGCCAACATTCTCAGCATCTTCAAGTGTATTGAAGGAATAATTGAACTAAAATTTTCCCAAAGCTGGGCATGATTGTGCACACCTATAATCCCAGTTACTTGGTAATCTGAGACAGGCGGACAAGGCCAACCTGGAAAACATAGTGAGACCTTGACTCGAAACAAATTTTTTTTTTTTAAGCACTAGGGTTATAGTTTGGGGATAGAGTGTGCTGTTCGCATTCTTGAGGCCCTGAGTTCAATCCCCATCACTGAAAAATAAAAAAAAAAAAGAAGAAGAAGAAGAAGGAGGAGGAGGAGGAGGAGGAGGAGGAGAAGAAGAAGGAGGAGGAGGAGGAGGAG